CCCCCCCCCATCCCCGCTCCGCCGCGCCCCGTGCCCCGCGCACTGCGCCCGGAGTCCGTCACGGATGAGGCCTCGCCCCGAAGAGCCATACCGTCCGTCTCTTTCTCCCTCTCTCTCTCCTTCGCCCTTCCGCCCCGGTGGCGCCTCTTTCTTCTCTCTCTCTATCTCTCTCTTCTTTCCTCTGCCGCTTCCTGAGTGCGCGAGGCCCGTGCAGGCCCGTGCAGGCCTACTCCTTGGCGCTCAGTCCAGTCCGGCCCGCTCAGGCCGCCACTCAGGTCGCCGTCCGCACGCAGTCCAGGTTGCCGCCGCGGCCGCCGCGCATCCCTCAGACGCGGTACACGTACGAACCTCTATAACCAGGCCGTCGTGCTGCTCAGGTCCGTGCCGGTAGGTCACCCCGTCGAGGCTCCTGGCCAGGTTGGCGTCCAGGCTCCACGACGGGGGCCCCGAGGCCCTCACCGGGCCGCCCCTCCGGACGCGAGGACAGCGATGTGCGCACTGCCGGAGCTACTGCAGCCCGGCCATGAGGACCCCGTCGGCCCTGGCGCTGCTCAGCATCCTGCTGTGCCTGCTGCCCCTCGCGCCGGCGCAACCCCAGCCGCAGCAGGACAGCCAGTATCAGGAGGTAAAAGTCTCTGTTGTCCCTCTCCTGGTACACCATTTATCGAATACCTCATGGGACCTAGGACATAAGGTTCATGTGCTCAGCTCAGACCAGCACGGCGCCAGCGGACTTGACGGAAATAACTTTTCGGGGCGTTGATACACGCTAGTCCTATGCAGCCAAGATTGCAGACAAAGGGTAGCTAGAATTTAGTTACAGAGGATACCACGGTCAAAATTCCTAATCTGAATGCGTCAAACTCCGAAAACAATAGGAGACACAACTTTCCAGTCGGACTCAGCACTCAGCGCCAACAGACATTGGCGGGCACCCACCGCTAGCCGTATCCTTCCCCGGGCTACCGCTGCCCCCCCCCCCTTTCTGTCTCTCTCTCCCTCTCCCCCCGGCCCCCAGTGCTACACAGACCGTAAAAACAAAACCAGGTGCTTTAGCGCGAAGCAGCGAGTTGAACGCGGGACCTGAACAGGGCGGTCCGTATACGACTGCTCAAGCAGGGAATTATGGCGCCGAGAAAATGTTTTTGACATACGCGCCTCGCCTTCCGTCACAACGCAATACTACGCAGCCCGCTCCGGTCGTTAAGGTGTTCCGTCCAGGACGGGGCGTTCTCTGCCCCGCCACTGCGTGGGCGTAACGCAGCACACCCAGTGACCCGCATACGGAGGGGCGGGGCCGGGGCGAGGCGGGGCGGACGCGGCCTTGATTCAACGGCGCCATACGACCGTCGCTGTAATCCTTGTTTCCGACGTGTATATGATGATTGTCGTGTGGAAGAAGAAGACGGTGATTCTCATTCTGTTGACTCGTGTGTTCGCTATACTTGATCCTTCAGCCAAATATTTGGCCGATTGACCGAGACGGCGGGGACGCCGATGTGCACTCATTCCTAGAGTCTAGGACCTAGACGCTCTTTTGTTTGGCGGGGGATGCCTACACCTGGCATCGGACACAGCAGGGTCCTTCTCCACTACTCGCAATGGAGCAGAACTCGAGGGGTCGACAACTGACCCATTGGTCCATTCGCATCCGGGCTCTCAGAGATCATGGTGCAGACTGATTCCGAAGAGACCTCAAGGGGCGCTGCTCTATGAGTGCGACAAGGACGGAGCTATACGGAAAATATATGAGATTGTTCTTCGAAATCAGTCGGCAGAAAGTACCCGTCGTTCGAGGTTCAGCAGAAATTGCCAAGTTCAGTCTGTGCAAGCTCTCGTAGCGCCTGATAGGTATGCAACATCTGCCTGCAATACTTATGTGTACCACAGGGTGGCCTACCCCGGATCTCACAGGCGCCTAGCTCTCCCGTAATTTACCGAACGAATTTTCTGAGATAAACTGGCGTGCTAAGGCGCCATAAAGCCGTATGGTCTAAAGCGATTTCTAGCAACCCCACACGCAGGCCATCATGCGGCAAAGTGCTGGGTGTTTCTTTGATTGCGCTCCAGTGTTACGGAATTGCATACTCACTAGGGTCGCAGGAGGCCATGGCACTTTGGGTGTGAAGGGAGCAGGCAAGCCCGTGACATCCGGTATTACTAGGAAGGTGGACGCGACGCGGCCAATCGGCCACCCACAACAAGGTGTTGATCGATAACGCAGACAAAGGGTGTGTTCAGACAAATTCGCACCTCGCTCCCCAACTGAAATCCACAATTTGCCTTTATCTGTGCCACAGGCCAGCCAGTTCCTCAGAGAGTATGATCGCGAGGCGGCCGCCATGTGCTTCCGGGTCACGTCGGCGACCTGGGGCTTCAGCACCAACGTCACCGAGAGCAACCGCCGCAGAATGGTGAGTTCCAAACAGTGGCCTGGAGATTTAGCACAATCGTCTCCAAAAGTAACTCCCGCAGAAAGGTTTGTACCCAAGCAGCGACCCGGAGCTAACCATATATCATCACCGATGGCGCAGCCCCCCCTGAACGGTAACAAGCAGCGCACCACCCTTCTTATTTTCCCACCTACCCATTACAGTTATCTCGATAGCAGCACAAGACACCGTCGAGGTGCTGCTGCATTACGGTGTGCATGGTCGCTGCGCGCCCGTCTCGTCTCCGCGGAGCTGGCAGGGCTAGAGGGAGCACACCGCCGTGCGCCGTTATACTCTGCGTCGCGCTGGGGCGGCCGTGGCCGTGGCGGCAGTGCCGCCCCTCGGGCCTCCGTGCCCTGCCCTGCCCTGCCCCGCCCCGCCGCGCCGCGACCACGCCCATGACCGTCCCGCTGCACCCCGGCAGTCACACAGCGGCACGGCGGCGGCGTGGCGTCATGTCCCGCTGCCCTCCCCGCCCTCATCTGCCGATTTTTTCCTCCCCACTCCTTTCTCTCTAGTTTCCTCCGCGACGAGAAAAAGCAGCGGAGGTGGCGGTGCCAATAGGAGCACCACCGACGACGCCTGCAGTGCAGCAGCGCTAAGTAGGCGGGGCACCTCATTTCCTGGTGCATATTTTCCCCCGCGTCTTCACTCCGACAGGACGCCGCGGCGGCTGAGGCGCACAACACTATACCATCCCGAGGGGACCAAAAAGGCGTAAAGTGCGCACCTTGGGAGTGTCGCCCGCGAGCAGAGATCAGCGCACGCCACGCCCGCGGCTACGCCACGCCACGCCCTGGCTGAACTAAAATACGTCTTCCGGTGCGGACCGCCACCGCGCCGGGCCGGGCCCGCGAGGAGAGGCGGAGGCCGTCGGGAGGCTCACTGGCTGCGCCTCCCCCGCGCGCAACATCCTGGAGGTGTCGCAAATGTGTATCACATGACGTAGGCCGGGCCCGACCACCACCCGCGAGCGCGCGCGTCCTCCAATTCGAAAATAATTGTGGATAATGAAGCAGCGAGGCTGCAACATCCACGCTGCTGGGCTGCTGGTGCCGGCGATGGGCCGGCGCCACCCGCGAGGGGCTCCCGGGCGTGCCCAAGTAGTATACCACAGACACGCGTCACGGTTTACGACGTCTTGGTCAAAACGAGTATAAACTGCGGCTTGGAAACGTCGTATGCGACGTCAACGCAATAACGTCACAAACACTGGGCCATAACGCGATGGCGTTACTTCTCCTTGGCGAGGCGAGGCACGTTAGCGGTGGTTACATGCCATGTGACATGAAGAGGCGGCTAACCCGGGGCGCACGCCGCGCGCATTGTGCGAATCATCTTTCCTCCGGACCGAAACAGTTCTGCCGTTATGATGTTGCTCTGCAGGCCCTGCAGCGAGCGTCTGCCTGGCGTCCTGCGCACGGTCCGTGACCTCACCGCCGCCGTTGTGTTGTTTCTTTGACTGCCTGCAGCTCGAGGAGCAGGCGCTGTCGTGGAAGTTCGGCCGCGTGTCCTGGAGGAAGGCGACGTCGCTGTCCTGGGCGCGCATCTCCGACCCGGCGGCCCGCCGCCAGCTTCAGATCCTGGCCCAGGAGGGCCGCAACGCGCTCGCCGACGACAGGTTCGCGGAGGTGAGGACTTTTAGGCCCCTGTCGGGGACCGTCGAGAAGGCTGCGCCGGGAGAATCCCCGGAAGCGACCCTTGACTCACGTGTAGCGGCCTGGGTTGTTGGGCCCATGGACGATTCGAGTATCTCGAAAGAAGAAATCTACAAGCATCATGGCTGTCATCCTCTATCTTTCCTTTACACGACCCTCTTTCGGGCAGCCATGATGCTAGTCGCATTTCTTCTGGTGGCTAGAAAGATGTAATAATACAACCCCAAACCATCTGCCAGCGCGTCACAGACCTGGCACGACGGGAAGTGCGGGAAGTTGGCCGTAGTCTTCCCGTAGCGGTACGCCGCGGTCGGCGGAGCGTCGGTGGCGGCGTCCCGGACGTGCGGCGGGTCACCGGGCAGGCTCTGAAGGGGCGCCGCCCAAAGGCATTCTGCAGGGTCACGGGCTGACGCCGCCGATGCGCTGCCGGGCCCTTAGTGATGCATCCTGCCCAGGCGGAAGTGATCGGAGTCGCGCCTCGCCACAAAATCACGGCGGCGAGGGTCCTCGGGGCGGGGCCCGGCGACGGGGCACAGTGACCTGACCCTCCCCGCACACCTGCCTGTTGCAGCTGATGCAGCTCATCGCCGACATGAAGGACGTGTACGCCCGCGCGCGGGTGTGCCCGACGACGGGCGTGCCGGGCGCGGCGACGTGCGACTGGCGGCTGGAGCCCGAGCTGAGCCGCGTGCTGGCGCGCTCCCGCGACCCCACCGAGCTGCTGCGCGCCTGGACGGCCTGGCACGACGCGGTGGGCCCGCAGCTGCGCGCCAAGTACGTGCGCTACGTGCAGCTGGCCAACGAGGCCGCCCGCCTCAACGGCTTCCGGGACGCGGGCGAGCACATGCGCGCGCCCTACGACGACCCGGAGCTCGAGTCCGAGGTGACGCAGCTGTGGGCGCAGGTGTCGCCGCTGTACCGCCAGCTGCACGCGTACGTGCGCCGCCAGCTGCACCGCCACTACGGCGACCTGGTGCGCGAGGACGGGCCGCTGCCCGCCCACCTGCTGGGCAACATGTGGGCCCAGAGCTGGAAGAACATTGCGGACCTGGTCGTGCCCTTCCCGGACAAGCAGGGCGCCGACGTCACCCCGGAGATGCTCCGCCAGGGCTACACGCCCGTGAGGTGCGCGACGACGGCCCCCCGAGGCCCCATGCACGCCACTCGCACTTTGCACCACAGCCCGCCCTGAGGCCCGGCCGCTGCGAGGCGAGCCCCTGGGTGGTAGGCAAGCCTCGCGCTCACGGCGCAGCCCGGCACGGCGGGTGGCCTATCCAGCATCCGCGGGCGCCTGCGGTCTGCGCGCGCTGGACCAGCAGGCCTGAAGGCGGCGCGGAGGGTTCGCACTCGCACTGCACGCTGCACGCACCGAAGTACAACCTCAAAAAAAAAAAAAAAAAAAGAAGTGCGTTTTGACCAGAGCGTTTCGGCCGTCCTTTTCTGCAGGATGTTCCAGACGGCCGAGGAATTCTTCACGTCGCTGGGGCTCAAGCCCATGTCGATGGAGTTCTGGCGGCACTCGATGCTGGAGAGGCCCGTGGACCGGGAGGCGGTGTGCCGCGCCTCGGCCTGGGACTTCTGCAACCGGAAGGACTACCGGTGAGTGGCTCTGGCGCGAGCCGGTGGGTCTGGTAAGAAATACTTGCATGCATCAAAAAAGAGAATAAAAGTTCCTAACATCATCCCCAGGATCAAGCAGTGCACCGAGGTGACGATGGACGACCTGCTAACGATACACCACGAGATGGCCCACATCCAGTACTACCTGCACTACGCCGAGCAGCCCTACATCTTCAGGCGCGGCGCCAACCCCGGTAACACCACATTTGGCAATCGGGCGAAATAATAATTCCCATTATTTAGAAAGACCTTTTCTTTGTTGTTGTGAGGAACAACTGTCCGCAATAATTCGTCTCCACGTTTTCTCCTCCCGCCCGCGTAGCGTTCCACGAGGCCATCGGGGACGCCATCGGCCTGTCGGTGTCAACGCCCCGACACCTGCAGAGGATCGGCCTGCTCAACAACATCACGGACGACTACGGTAGGTGATAAACGCGCGGTTGCGGCGCTGATGCAACTCCCATGAGGCGATTCCCGCATGATCATTACTCGCTGCGGTGCCCCTGTGACCTGCGGAGGGGGGAGGGGGGTGAAGTTCATTTCAAAGTCTATGCCGCAAATAGGCCCCGAGTTCCCCCTCGATCGGAACGGTAGCGAGCCGCCTCGCCTCCGCCGCCGCCGCGCCGACGCGGTGGCACGCATTAGCCAATGTTGCAGTTGTGGTGGTCTTTGCCGAACTTAACAAGTGGGACAGTGGGGCCCGCGGGGCCCACCGGGCGTGTCACCTGTCAAACACGGAGGGTCGCGGAGTCGTGAGAAGGACGCGGCCCCAATATTCAAACAAGCAGGGCCTTTTCATCCTTCTCGGCCAAAGTCCAAATCATTGAAGGCGCACAATGTTGCAGAGACCAACATCAACTATCTCCTGACGGTGGCCCTGGACAAGGTGGTGTACCTGCCCTTCGCGTACGTCGTAGACCAGGTGAGGTGTATTTCGCGTGTCTCGAATCTTAAAACTACTTTATTACTATCATTTTCCGGAGCAACATTTTATCCTTCTGACCTCCCCCCGTGCCCATGCAGTGGCGCTGGCGCGTCTTCTCCGAGGGCGTGGAGAACATGAACGGCCGCTGGTGGGAGCTGCGCATGCGCCACCAGGGCGTGCTGCCGCCCGCGCCCCGCTCCGAGAGGGACTTCGACCCCGGCGCCAAGTACCACGTGCCCGCCGACACGCCCTACCTGCGCTACTTCGTGAGCCTCGTGCTGCAGTTCCAGATCCACGAGGCGCTCTGCCGCGCGGCCGGCCACCCGGGCCCGCTGCACACGTGCGACATTTACCGGTCCAGGGAGGCGGGCCGCCTTCTGGCCGAGGTAAAAACTCCCTATCATAAGACCAACGACATTTTTTCGAAAGGAAAGGGGGGAAAGTCTCAATCAAGAGTCGATCTTGAAAGAAGGTGATACAAATTTAAGAATAGCATTGTGTCCTAATTTTTCCCATATTGGTCTGGTAGAGTCTAAGAAAAAGTGCAATGCTGAAATAACTCGTTCGTCCCCGTGCTACAGGGTGGTCCACAGACCCCTTCCTTTATTTTGCTTATACAGTACCGCATGCAGGCATGCGGGCGGGCTTGCCTACCGTCTCTCTCCGCGACGCCTTATGGCCCCTTGCGAATATGCAACCCGGTCTGCATCCGGTACAGTATAAGCAAAATAAAGGAAGGAGTTGGTGGACCACCCTGTATATCGCCTCTCTGCTACACCCGGCACTCTTTTATGGCTTGCCTGCACCCAGGCGGCAGGCGGCCTCTGGGTGGCCTGGAGGCGTAGGGGAGAGGGGGATGGCGGAGCGGGCTGAGACTCGGTGTTGTCGGCCAGGGTGGGGCTGCTGGTGCGGACGCCTCAGCCTCTCTAACCGCACTTCACATTCAGGTTCCACCCCCCCCCAGCCTGGTTCTCTTTTTCCCTATCGAGAGTTGAAGCTGGCTGACACATTACCATCACCTGTTTGGTGTTTGGCTACTGTCTCAAGGTACCATCTGCTAATGAAATGCCCGTCGGTTAGGTCCTTTCCCCTATCGAGAGTTGAAGCTAGCTGCCACATTACCATCACCTGTTTGGTGTTGGCTACTGTCTTAAGGTACCTGTCTGTCGGCCAGGTACTGTCGCTGGGCGCGTCGCGGCCGTGGCGGGACGTGATCCGCGTGGCCACGCAGGGCGCCACGGACCGGCTGGACGCGCGGCCGCTGCTCGACTACTTCCAGCCGCTGGCGCTGTGGCTGCGCGTGCAGAACCGGGAGCGCGGCGTGGTGGGCTGGACCACGACCAGCCAGGAGACGGCGCTGTTCGCGCGCTGGGCGAGGCCGCTGACGGCGGCCGCCCCCGGCTGCGCCGTCGCGCCGCCTCATCACCTTCTCGTCATATTTATTGTTTTCGTTACTACTTGCTTGTCACAACAATAAAAGGATACAATCTCAAGTGTGAATGAGCCTCATCATGTGCTGGCCGAAGCGCGCACTGCGTTGTTGGACAGGTCGCGGACCGTTCGCGGTTTGTACGGACTAAAGGCGACGTGGCTCACACTTCGCCCCTTCCCGCCTCACGACGACTGGGGTGTCCCACGCCACACCGGGCGGGATTTTGGGTTGCCTGCGCGCTGACCACAGGCGCCGTAGGGGGAAAGACCACCTGTCTGAAGCCCCCCTAGGGAGGGGGGGGGGGCGTGTGAGGACCTGAAGGGGATTCCAAGTCGCACATCGCGCTACGCAGCTGGCTGACCTCACCCCCGGAAAACGCTTTTCAAACGCCAACACTCCAAACAATCTAGGCAACGGCAGCGTGCCTTACAGGCAGAGGTCGCCGCCGTCCGAAGACAACCGCGGAGGGCAGCCCCGCGGGAGGGGCGAGGGGAGGTGAAGGCGGAGGACGGCCCCAGGCCGGGTGGCGCGCGAGCCGCGAGCCCCTTCCTGCCTACGGGTAGTGACAGTCGGACAGTTCTCCTGACCGCGGCCCCGCGGGAAAACGTCTACCATGTCGCGTGTCGTCGGCGCCACCGTGGACGTGCTGACGCACTTTGCGACCGGGCTCTGGACGTATGCTGGTGTGTAAATACTGGACCTCGAGCAGGTCAGGTCGGGATTTATTGCTGATCTGTTACCCGGCCTCTGTGGCTGGACTGCGGGCAAACTTTGTGATCGTTCAGAAAGTACGTCCGCGATTCGTCGTTACGAAACTGCAAATCTGAGCCTAGCAAGCTCTGATAGCGCCTGATAGGCAACATCTACCATGCAGTGCGTGCATGTACTGCGGGGTGGACTACCCCGAGTCTCGCAGGCGCCGAGCCGACGTAATTCGCCGAATGCATCTGAGAAAAGCGGACGGACTTTCTGAGCGATCCCTTGTGTCGCGACTAATGAGCGGATGGACGCTGAGACACATTGACGTGTTCCATCACAAGGGTAGTTTGACGAATGGGGGGAGGTCTTTGTGTGGGGGGTTGCTCCTTGGGGGTGCGGAGGGGCGTGTTCGAAGGAAATGTAACGAATCAATGACGACAATGGCGTGATTCCTCTGAACGGCAGACCCTCGGTCCGAGCACCTGCCCATGGTGAAGAACCCCTTGCCGGTGGCCGCCATCATCTGCGGCTACCTGTACTTCGTGCTCTCGCTCGGGCCGCGACTCATGAAGCACCGGCAGCCCTTCAACCTGGACAGGGTCATGCTGGTGTACAACGCGGTGCAGGTCATCTGGTGCGGCTACCTCATCAGAGAGGTGAGGACCGCGACGAACCACCACACCCCGCCTTACGCCATGTCATCGCACACCTTGTTTTTAAAGTTTAAAGTAAATGCCTCGCCATAATGTCTCTCGGCAGTGCGTGCGTCTCGCCTGGGGATGGAAGTACAGCTGGACTTGCCAGCCTCTCCCCACAGGAATGGAAGTGGCAGACTACGAGGTAAAAGTGATCCATTCTCCCTCTCTGCTGGCACCTCGAAATAGCCGCAAGGGATAAACTACAATTGTTGTGTTTCAGACGGCCTTTGGCGTATGGCTTTACTTCATTCTTAAGATCGTGGACCTGTTGGATACGGTAAGTACCTTTTCTAAGTACACCCAGAACAACCGCATGTTTAAACAAGAAAATGGTATTGCCCACGAGCGGGCGCTTAACGAGTGGGGTACTTCTTAAAACTGTACCTATATCCGAGAGTAGATTGTCCGACGCTAAACTCTACACTTCGTTTCAGGTCTTCATGGTCATGCGCAAAAACTTCCGCCAAATCTCTTTTCTGCACGTGTACCACCACTCGGGTATGGTGTTCTGCATTTGGTTGGGTGCCAAGGTTTACCCCGGTGAGTTTGGGTCTCTCCGACCTCTTTTCAAATAATAGCGCGATAACGGCGGATCCAAAATGACACTTCCGGTTCCGGTCCCGCAGGCGGCCACCACACTTTGCTGGGCCTCATCAACTGCATCGTCCACTGCTTCCTGTACGGCTACTACTTCCTGAGCCTCGTGGAGCCGCGCGTGAAGAGGGCGTGGTGGAAGAAGTACATCACCCTCATCCAGCTCGTGCAGTTCGGGATGAACGTGGTGCACGAGGCGCTGCCGTTCCTCATCGCCGGCTGCGAGGTGGACCGGCGGATCAGCGGCGCGCTCGTCGTGCAGAACGTCTTCATGTTCGTCCTCTTCGCCGAGTTCTATTACAAGAACTACATTCGAAAGGCGCCCGAAAAGACTCGAAAAGACACCTAATCGAGCGAGCTTCATTTCCATGAGAGATAGACTCTGACCCGTGAATAGCAATGAGAGCTCCGACATGCTGTGCGCCCGGCGCAGAGAAGTTGGGCATGAGAGGCGCGCACAGTGAACGCCCCCCGGGATGACTCGAGGGAACGTTGGGCACGATGGCGTTCTGGAGTGCGACTGGAGAGCTCACGGCGAGCTCACGGCGAACTCACGGGCTGCGCCTTCTAAACTTCTCAAAATAGGGTGAGGGGGTTGGGGGGTAACGTTTTGGGAACGTTTTTCAGGTGAGCTCACGGTGAGCTCGGCGTGAGCTCTCTAATCGCACCCCTGGTTGCCTGATAACAGCCCTCCTGGCGCGGTGGGGGTGGGCGTCAGCTCCCACATACAGGGGCTTGGCGGGTTTGCCTACCCAGCGCGTTGCAGGCGCTACTATTAGCATAGTGTAAGCATGATCAGGACTATCAAGTGGCCCACGGGCCACGGGACGTTTCACAGTTACAGCGCACCTCATGCAGGCGTGCGGGTGGGTTTGCCTATTGTCTAGAGCCATGGCACATCATGGCCAACGAGTAGGCAACCCGGCCATCGTGTGCAGGTAAAGTACACAGTACACGCACTAAATGTTGCGAGGTCCGTGTTGAGAAAGCAGTTGAGTCTTTTAATAATCATCTAAATCAAAGACATACAACAGCCCGGCTACCGGCTATACTCGTTCAGGCAAGAACGTTTGAGGGCCTAGTCGAAAGGAGCCAAACGTTCCCTTGTGACGCCTATGGGTATCATCGCCTCAGAGAACGTCACCTTTGGGGACGTTCACTGTGGGGGCACTAAACTAGAGTGTCCACGTCTGGGTACGCGGCCAGCCCGGGCCCGGCCTCAGCCACAACGCTGCCATCTAGACGCTACTGTGTAGCGCGAGTGTGTTTAAATATGTTTTTTTAGAAATATATTGTTAAATATATTGTGCGTACAAACACGTTACCATAAAGCAATTTTGTCAAAATCATTATTACATGAATGCCTATTAGTTTAGTCAAGTCGGCTCAATCGGAGAAGGTGCGTGCAGTGCGTGCGTATGAGCGTATAAGCCACGGTGGGAGGGAGAGGAGGGGGACCCATCGCACCCACCCCTCCCCACTCTTCCCCCTCGCCCTGCCTCCTCACGGCTCTGCTAACGCTCGCTACTCTAGCCGACAGGACACCAGGTGCCACCTCTTCGAAGCTCACTTCCGCGAGTCAACGACCGCCGACAAACGCAACGCAATCGCCTTGTCGTGTAGAGCCCTTGCCCAGTAGGGTTGGGCTCACGGCGCGCCTGGCAAACCTCCTGTGCCGGTTAATCTGTTCTCTGAAAATGTTTTATAAAGTGCGGGCGTGCGGGCCCCTTACTACCGCCTGACAACCGAGTGTACTTGGATCGTCCATTCTCAGATTCATTCGGCAAATTACGGGAGGAGCTTGCCGCCTGCGAGGCTCGGGGTAGGCCATCCCACACTACACGCATGCAAGATGTTGCCTACCTACCCTACCAGGCGCCATGAGCTGACAGAGCGAGGATTCTCGCCTTCCGGAGGAGGGCCGACGCACTCTCTGGATTATTCCTATACAACCCCGCAAATTTGCGCGTGTGGCCTATCTTCACGACGATCATTCAACAGGTTTTCATGGTTTTCAACATAAACTTCCCCCAAATATTTCCAACTGCCAGAGACCTACGACGAGTAAATCATCATCGTGAGAAACAAACTGACCTCGTCTCGTGAATATGAATGGGTTGCTCTCAGTGTTCGGCGCTTGGGTCCGGCCGGTAATTGCGCAAACAGATTCGCATCCCACGAGCCGTTCGGTACCGCTGACGCTAGAGTGACGCATGTGAAACAACCAAGTCTGCACGAGATTTTTTCTCAAAACTTTGAAATGTGTACATACGTAACTCAAGATGAGAGAAATAAATATGTGATGCCCTTCCCAAGAATTGCAAAGGGTGCGTTAATGTGCAACGTAGTAAAATAGAAATAGGAAATAACAATACAAAGTTGAACAGCTTGTTTGACCCTTTTCCATTTTAAATTTAATTTCGTTATATTAAAATGTACAAGCAGCACAGCCCTATATCAGGAATGTTATAAAAATTATAAAAGAACAAAATAATTTCAATGAGCTAACATTCACATCCTTCAAAACAAGACATTGCTTAATAAAAATCTACCATTCACAAAAATGCAAGATATCATTTTAAAATTACTATACAACTTAAGTAAAAAGAAAATAAGAAAAAAAATATGAATTGTTTTGATCACATAAAGATTCAAACCCTGTCAATTGTCCCAAAATTTGTTTGTTGCTTTTGCAACAATATACAACAGCCTAATTACCACATGGAACACATATAGAAGTAACACTTTAACAACCAAGCTATGACAGATTAAGCAACACAACAACTTATTCCTTCACATTGGGATAAGGACCATCTTGAATGGTGATAGGCAGATCTCTCATAAGGAACTTCAATGGTAGGATGATCATTATCCAGATCACCAAAAGCAGACACTTTTCTATCTAGGTCATAATCACATTTATCCTTTCCTTCCCTTTTAACTGGGGAAGCATCACAGCCACCAAGAGATAAATAATTCTCCTTACACTCTTTTGAAGAATCATCACAAGTTGATGAGTCAACTCCTAGAGAAGTACTTAAATCTGTCTCACCAAAATTTTCTGGTGAGACAGGCCTGTCTCATAGCTTGCTCAAGGCACATGCAACTTTTGAGGAGGTTGGCCTATTCAAGAAAGAAGAAATAAAATTCCCAGCATCTATAAGCTTTTCTAAATCGACACCAGTTTTTATGCCCATTCCATGCAACATGTACACAACATCCTCGGTAGAAACATTGCCTGAGGCTCCTTTAGCATATGGACAACCCCCTAAGCCTGCAACGGATGAATCCACCACTGCAACACCATGCTAAAATAGGGGGGGAAAAACAAAGCAAAATTGTGAGAAAAGAAAAAGGCAATTTTTAAAAACTTGCAAAAATTATAATTACTTACTTGCAGAGCCATAAGAATATTGGCTAATGCTTGACCATATGTGTTGTGACAATGGACTGCTATGTTGTTTACAGGAACTAAACGAGATACTTCAGTAAGCATGGTGTCCATTTCACCTGGAGTACCTACACCAATTGTGTCTCCGAGTGAAATTTCATAGCATCCCATATCCATCATTGCATTAGCTACCTGAAGTGATTTTATCCATTTAATTAGTAGATAAAAGAGATAACATTATTGAAACAAGATTTTTGGTAAAGTTTAGTGGAAACTTACTTTGGCCACCTTGAGCGGACTGATTTTCCCTTCATATGGACAGCCCAACACACATGACACATATCCGCGCACTCGCAAACCTTGATTTAAAGCTTGACGGACCACATCAGAGAAACGCTGCAGGCTCTCATCAATAGAGCAGTTTATGTTTTTCTGACTGAATGATTCTGATGCTGCTCCAAAAACAGCAATTTCTTGTGCACCGGCAGCGATCTAAAATATAAAGAAAATATTAAAAAAAATACAAGATACGTAATTTTTAAAATTTACAAAAATTTAAATGAAAAATGAATTTTATAGGGAAGCACACTTACTGCAGCATTTAAGCCCTTTAAATTTGGCACAAGCACTGGATAACTAACTCCAGGTTTGTGATCGATTCCCTTCAAGACTTCAGTTCCATCAGCTAACTGTGGCACCCATTTAGGAGAAACAAAGCTAGGGAGAGAAGACGTCACACCATCAAATGCTGAACTCAGAAAGACAAAATCAGATGGTCACAACTTTCGATTATATACCTTGTAGCCTCAACAGTGCGTAAGCCTGCAGCAGCTAACCGGTTTATGAGTTCAATTTTGATATGGGTAGGAACTTTAAGGGGTTCATTTTGAAGGCCATCTCTTGGACCAACTTCAACAATTTTGACAAATGATGGGTACACACCATCTCCAATACTTCCCTGGGTTGCCTGTCGAAAGTATGTCAGATAAAAATTAAAGAAGTACTGTAACAATAGGGAGGGGCATAAAAAATTCATTTAAGATCTCGAGAAGCACATTCTGTTAGTTTTATTATAAACATGCACAATAGAAACGAAAAATAATAAATTTAAGGCAGATGACAAAATATTGCTAAGCAACAATTATTGAGATAAAATCTAAAAGTACTGTAATAAATAAATATTAATTACAATTAGATACATAGACACAAGAAAGAGGAAAAAAAGTAGAGGTGTCGCAACAGCAGATCTAATCCTTGGATAAAAATATAGCAATTGATTGTGTATGAATGACAGGCATTTTTATCTACCTCCTCTGAAGAATGTGCAGTACAGAACAAAAAGGCTTGTTACAAAGTGTCAAGCAGGTTCTCAAATAGCGCAAAACCATGCAGCCATCAATCAGCAAAAGGTAACGACTAGAAAAAGAAAATGAAGTGCGGAAAGAAGGTGGAATTAACTAAATTTGCAGCAAGTGTCTACTGTGTTTAAAAGTGCAAATTGAGGCGCAAAAGTAGCGAAGTAAAAATTGTGACATGAACAAAAGAAAATATGGGATACGGATGAATGGAAAAATAGAGCATTCAATGGAGCAAATGGTAATACCTTCATTTTGAATATCATATGAAATTTATCTAAAAGTCGATTGTTAAACACTTTAACTGGCAACGAGTACAGGCGTTGATAAGGGAATCCAGTAGTCTGCCTGGGGGGAGCAGCAGCTACTGCGGAAAGAAATAAAGGCAAAATGAGACAGCTCGTTGAAATAATCAAAACTATTCCAATTTTGCAGTTCTCATATCCAGTAGTGAACTTTTGTCACTTCTGATTAATTAAAAGTTAGGTGAAACAAATCATCTATATGAGTACAAATTTTATCATTTAATTATTTTTTAGTGGCAAAGTAGGAGAAGTGTTCAAGAACAATCTACGGACTGCCTAAATGTTCTTAGCAAAGTAGGAGACTCATATATATGCGGAATATTGAAAATCAATACAAAGTCGGCAAGATCACGGAATAGAAAGTGAATCTAAATTCTTTTCCTGAAATAAAGAGCTCTGTTGCCGTAGACGTCATTGTTGTCACAAAATTGTTTTCATTGTACAATACCGTATCAACACTTCCTTGCAACAAGACCAACCAAACTCCACCCGCCTTCAGGTGGGGAAACCCGATGGAGGAAGACTGGACTAACGGATACAGGCATTGTAATCTGCAAATCACCTAGCCACAGATATACAAAGTGGAGGGGATCGCGCAGGGTCCATAACCTGTTCGTGGAACAACACAAAAAGTTCTTGACGTCCGCGACCCTAACCCCCCACAAGAAATAAATCGCAAAGCAACTTTTTCCCAGCCAAGTTTCTAAGACATACAATTGTTCCAGAAATTAATGCTTACTATAGTCCTGAATGTGAGAGCTCGCCTCGTAATCAAATTCCGTAGGCCGAGCATGATTGTCGGAGGCAGCAACCGCAGTGAGTTCCCCCACCGGTTCCAGCTGTGGTAGGACGGTGGGATTAGAGGTCGGGAATAATTTATGACAAGCGCGAGACACGCATCTTATCTTTCATCGCCCAGAGCGAATATGAAATGACAAATTCATGAGGAACCAGACACTTGTTCACCTCTAAAAGACTCATGATTATCCGTAACACATCTACTTTCCATCGAGTGCAAAATGAGTATCACGAACATGTATTCTCCAATCATTTGATAAGTGTGGGGTCTTGCAGCAGAGATGTCAGTGCAGTTATGGATTTCTCGAAATTGAGGGAAAGGATAAAATTACAGTAAACCAGAAATTGTGTAAGGAGAAATTTATTCAAACAATGGAGCATCAGCGCTCCACATAGCTTAATCTTCCTCCTCATCACCACCGCCGCCGCCACCTCCCTGAGCCTTGCGCAGGTTCTTCCTCTTGACACGGCCAGGCCTGCCGCCACCGAAGGGCGACTTGAGGGAGAAGTCGATGTGCTTCTGGGAGTCCAACCGCACGACAAAGCTGGGAATGTTAACCACCTGCTTGCGGACTCTGAAAAAACAACAAACCAAACATTAGCACGAAAGTGACGATTCAGAGAAATCACCCAAGAGTAATGAGAATTCAATGTATATGCCATGAATCAGTTTTGGCATAAAAGCCAAACTGGGATTATACACAGATTTACTATCACCTCAAGGATTAGAGACGCTCTAGAAAAGTCATGGCATCCCTTGCCCAGATCTTGAGGTGAACTATTTAAAGACTAGGTGTATCTTTGTTATGAATCATTAAAGGAATATATCCAGTATGGGATTAACACAAAGATTTTTTATTGCCTCATCGATTAGAGACAACTAATGATTTAGAGTCCCTTGCCCAATAAATGAGGCGCTGAATTGTATGTTGCACAGGTACTTTGAACAGTCTGCATACCTCCAATGTGCATGCTTCCCAGTGTAATGCAATCAGGCATAGGTAGAGCAAGCTCTGACCAAGTGGCCCTAGTGAAGTTGCAATCAGGGTAATGGGCGTTAAGGGAGCAAGCTCCACTTAAGTGGCCTAAATGATCAGTCAGGAGAAGAGTGAATTTGGTTTCACTTCGTAATCCGCCTGAGAAAATCAGAACTATCAAATGATAGCCAGCTGTAATAGAATGATTAGTATTGGATACACCATGTACCTGATGTGTCTTTGACGGATCAGCACTCGAGCATGGTGGATAGACTTGGCAAGTCCAAGTTTGAACACCTGGGTCTGCAGACGCCTTTCCAAGAAATCTTCGATCTTAAGACCAAGGACGTAATCAAGCTTCATGCGAGACTCATCCAAGACTCCAATGCGCACCAGACGACGCAGCAGTGCGTTACCTGCAGGGAATAGTATTGTTAGGTGCGAAGACAAGAATATAACGAACAGCAAGTGAAAATAGTTATCCTGATATCAGATAATGGTAATTCACATCAAACTTCAGACAAGAGGTGTCAATTCAATTAGATCATCATATTCAGGAATGATTAAAAATCTTCATGTAAAATTCAATACTAAACGGATCAGGTGTAAGAAATTTGAAGGGTTCTAACATGTGAAACTGATGAAATTAATTGAAAGTTAGTTGTAGTACCCCAACCTTAGCATACCACAATCAGACATAAAGATAGAGGTCCCATGGCAGCGTTTCAGTTGGGTTGCAACTTAATCTTCTTCCATAAGTACAGCCAATACTGTCCTTGCCCATGAAGCAGGAGGCACGAGGCCAGCCACAAAATAGGCTACAGCATGGCACATGGTGTACTGGAAGGTGACATGCAGTGCTGGAGGATAAGCTTACCTTCGAAAAGACGGCGCTGGTCTTTCTCTTCCAGAGTCAAAAGTTCTCGGGCAGCCTTACGGATCTTAGCCAGGGTGTACTTGACTCTCCATACTTCACGCTTGTTACGGAGACCGTACTCGCCGATGATCTTAAGTTCCTGGTCGAGACGAGCCTTCTCGTATGGTCTCCTGGGAGTAACATAGGTCTTACTGAAGACCGAGGGTATCCGGTTGTTCACCATCTTGGCCTGCAAAACGAAATTTCAAAACAAATTAAATCCCAGAAGTGACATGGCGATCCGGCATGGCCGGCGTGAGCAGAGGTTAGGGTACATGAGAATATTTGACCTAAGTAACATTTGGGGATAAGGAAGGCTGCGGGACTTGATAAACGGAATGAAAGTCGAACAAAGTTAGTCGAGAATGGACAATAATACGCAAAAATGATGGGTAAAGTAAACTGGTGGACCACGTTGCAAGCGGAAAACGTGGGAGCGAAACTTAACTGATCAAAGATAAAAACTACTAAGCTGCCAAGAAATAACGCGAGTTAATTGTGTGTTATGGACAATACTAGAAAACGATGCTCTGAACACTTAGAAAACATACAAAATAGAACTACTGAAGGACAATATTCCACATAATCAAGAGCTCTCACCGTGCGCGTCCGACGCCTCGGCCCACCAGAATGGGAGAATCTGGCTTTAAGAAATGTGGACGGAACCGGAGGCAGATGCGTTAAATACCCCCACCACACACAATACCAAGCGTACCAACAACAAAAGGGGAAATTGATGGAAAAAATATGCAAAATGAGAGGTGTGTGACCGATATCCCTACTTTTTAGTAGTTATCCTATTTATAAATATTATTTCGTTGAGCTTGGACTTCAGCATCTGGTATTCTACAAAATTAAAAAAAAATTACTAGGGACTTTTGCATTTTTCTGAAAATTACCGTTTTGGTCGATTTCTCAAAGGCAGTGGCACAGCAGACGAGTAGAGCAGTAGTAACAGAGAACAAGTATCAAAACAGATATTAAATTTAAGTATTTCATTTAAGCCCAGAGACATAGATTAAAATACAGCATTTAACCTTGGATTTCGCTAGAAAATTGTTTGGTTTGTTGCCCCAAAATTCTGTTGAGATTGGAAGGGTTGAAATTGAGTTATTGGATGAGTGAAAGACATGAGTGAAAGAATGAAACAACAAATTTTTGCCACGATCGTATTTTTTCTGAGGACAAATACCTTTGTCTACCACATCCCTTGATCATCGCCTATGCAACATGAACTGCTGATATTCTGGCGACCCGGAGATCTTTGCCACGTATTGCTGGATTGATTCATCTGCTGGACTTGTTTTATGAGGTATGTTGTTTTTCATAGACTTGTAACAACTAAATTGAACAACCATTTTCTGACCATGAGCATTATAATTTTGGACTGTGTTAGCCACACCTACTTTATAAAAAAAGAAACACCTCTATGCTACTGTTCTGTTTTGCATATCATGGTTACTTTCAACAGCATGTAGGGAATTCTCTTTGTTCTTTGCTAAATATCTGTAGAGATATATTCTCAAGGAATAAAATTTTATTCCACACTTATCAGAACAATTTGTGTACTTTACCTTCATCAAGTTAAAAACCACTTCTAATCTTTTCAACTAAATTTGATTCTCTTTGTCTAAATTTAAACCAAGCCTCTTGCATGCAACAGTTTCATTTCTGAAGCCTGAATGAAATCATCACTAATAAGTTCCTTCAGATTAAAATTTAAAATAACACATTTGCACTCTAATTTTTGTTCTCTCTTTCATCTTTTGTTTGAACAGGTTACAAAATGAATGCAATGGGATACTTGCCTTTAGTGCAGGAGAAGCGTCAAACATCCTGGTTGCGCATCCCATTTGGTAAGCTGGCATGGATTACTGTCAGCTTACCATTTTTTTCATTTATATTTTGTGTTATTTGGTCTGTCCTATTCAACTTTGACAAAGCAACTTTCACTCATTGCAAGGTAAGATATTTTTTGGTGTGTTTTTATATGTTTTTAAAAATAGTATTTTCAGTGAAGATTTTAAAAGTGAATTTATCTTATTGAATTTCTTTTTTCTTTTATTCTAGGTTGACAACTATTTACCTTCAATATCTGCGGCGATTGGAAACTTTAGCCCTCAGAGAGATGTGTGGCGAACAGCCATTGGCACGCATGCTCTCCCAAGACTACTGGTTGCCTCCAAGTATTACAGTTACTACAGAGCAGTTCTGTATAAGTGGGCTCATTCCTTAGCTGCTGTTGCTTGCTGGTTGACGGTTATTGAAAATCTTGCTCTTGTTGGTCTCACCTTTGTTTCTTCCAGTGACAATTATCGTAAGTATTTCTGAAGGCAAGTCTCCTAAAACTTGAATGTACTCAAATTCTGAATCTTATGACTACTTTTTCTACAGCTGCTCATGAAAAACTTTTTATAATATTCTTGATTTCTTCGGAACTCTACATGGTGCTCACATGTGTTTTGGTTTCCCGTACTCGGTCAATGCCCCCTGATGATCTGGATAGAAAATCGTTAAAAACTAAGTGGAGACTCCTCTGCATAAATATTTCATTTTCTTTAATGGCCGTTTACTGGTTTACAAGACACAACAGCTACTGTGAGCCAGGAGGTAAGAGAAAGTTGTACAGTTTAAATTATTCAATTTTCTCATCTATTGTAAAATTTAGTGTATCAATTGAAATATTTCTTTTCCAGTGTATACCCTATTTGCCCTCTCAGAGTATGTGGTAGTTCTGACCAATATGGCTTTCCATATGACTGCTTATTGGGATTTCAATGGCTGCATACTTGTTGTGGGCTCTCGAGGGATACATCTCAGATGACGACCACTTCAAATGGGGGATCACATCCAATAACGATGTGATCCAGGTGAGACGGTCAGTGGAGGGTCAGATTCAGTGCAAACTGATTCTACTGCTTCCAGTGAGCGCACAGAGGCTGAAAGTATTTCCACCGAAGATTCGTGCTATGGAGATTCCTCCGTAGCATGGATAAAGCCCCAGTTGCAAAATCAATTACCGTCTCGCCTGCGCACACAGCACAAAATACCCGGCAGTCCTGACCTTTGTCGGATATCGTGCTGTTGCGGTGGACCTCAAAGTTCCACAATCACAACAGATATTCCATGTAAAGATCCACGTACTTATGTTACTGAAGATGTGTACCCTGTACTTATGGTAAGTGGAAGAACTTACCTTCCACCAAGTTTAAATAGTGAAATTTGCCTTGAGATCAGTGATGGAGTGTGGACTTCACAGTCTAGTCCAAACCCACCGGAAGACCCTGAATGGATCAGACGGCGCGTTGTTGCTGTTGAACAACAACAGTGGAACCACTATCTTGCAGCATCTGCTAAGGCTGTCCAAATAGGCCAGTTTGCAGTGCCCACATTTACAGATGGCCATGATGAACATGTGCCTGATGTGGTCCATGAGACAGAACAAGAGGATAAATCTTCACTTGAAGATAGTGGTGCTCTAGATTGTGAAGATGTCAGTAGTCCCTCTTCCCCAAGTACAGCTAAGTCCAAATATATCACATCTAGAGAGAGAGACGATATAGAAATAAGTGGCTCTGCAGAAAATTTTGAAAAACTCTCCCGTACCCCAAATGGCTTAATATCAACAGCTGTCACCCACATAAACTTAGATAAAAGTGAAAGTGCTCCTGAGAAAACTGTGGAACTTCAGCCACCTTTTGTGAAGTGGATCTTGGTACCTCAAGATTTTACATCAGATCTCAAACCCTTGGCACATTTGCTGCCAATGTTGGGTCCTACTTCCACAGGTGAGGACCCAGATACAGCTAGTTCAAAGATTAGTCATGGTAATGGCCTGAGTGAACAGAATGTCTGCCCAAATCAAACACTTCAGCGTTGGCACTTTTGATGTAATTTTTCAAAATTGTCCAAATGTTAAAGTGGATGGTTTCCTTTTTTAAATATTAATTTGTGATAAAATAGAGACTTACAAACTTCTAGATGTTATGGAATGTTTGCTGGTTTGTTTAGTGGCTGTGCCCAAGTTATTTTAAATTGCACCAGTGTTCTTGTTTATCATGAAAGAGGTAATTTTTCCTTGGAGAAAAATTAGTGTAAGAGTTATTTTGGATTTGGTCGGTGAGTTGGTGAAAGGAATCAGAAGCATTTGGAATGAGGCACAGCTGGTTAAAAGAGTAGTCTCCTCAGAGGGGCCAAAGTATCTAAATTGTCTGAGCCTGTTATTTTCTATCAAAGCTTCTAGTCACATCAGAGATGTTAGTCTCTAATGCTCTATGTTTCTCTTTGTCTGATCTGATAGTTACTGTCTACATTCCACTTTTGAGTAAATCAAAAAATTTCCTCATTTTTTATGTTATTGTGCCAGAATCTGACATTACTAAAGTCTCAAATCAAGCTGGAAAAATATGAGAGTAAATACAATATATTAAAGTGCCAAAGTACTTTCAAAAACTATAGTGGCAAAAATAAGAATCACAACCTTGACATTTCAGTACCGGTAGTTATATCATCCCCCAGCTATTGAGTACTAAATCTGAGTCTACTTGGTTCTGATGAAAAAGTAAAGATGATGCCTTGTAATTTTTGTACGGGCTGTATAGTACTCATAAGCACTCATCTTAGATATTTGCCAGAACTAATGAGATGCACAGTGACTTACAAGAAGGCATAGAATTTCTTCTGTTTTCTGTCCGGTATGTGGTGTCAAAAGTGTTTTTGAAGTTTAATCTGCTTGTTTAGTATGCTTCATGGTTTGCTGAAATTGGTTGTTGGTGCTGCTTTTTGCATAGTTTAAAGATACCTTCAATTTTATGGCTGTCTCTTGTTATTAATTAGGATGGAATTCACTTTTGACATGATAAATGATTTATATATTTTGCCATTCACTACTGCCTTAACTATGCTAGTTTATTGTTTTATCATACAGTATGTTATGTCTGTACTTAAGGAAAGTTGCTCTTCACAAAAACCCAGTTTTATGGTGAAGTGCACCATATTCATTTTAAAATTTTCAGTACTTCTTCTCTCATTGGACTTTAGTCTTCTATGTGTCATGGTGGTCAACAGAGGTTGACAACTGTTTCATAAAAGGATGTCCACAAATAAGATGAATCTGCTCAGTTATTCAGCTCTGAACAGCAGTTAGATATCTATTATTTCAATCTTTCTTTTTCTACAAGTCAGCTACAGAAACTTCATTTTAAACATGGAAACAGATATTGAAATTAGGGTGCATTATGTATTTTAGTATTCCTCAAGATTTTGAATGTTGTGATTTTACTCTGATTTCCAAATAAGTTAATACAACAGTATTGCAATTTTGTTCATTTGGTGAAAACCTTTTGAACATTGTTGCCGATGTGCCAATCTGGTCCCTTCCATGAACATTATTTGATACTTGTAACATGGATATCAATGTTTCTTCATCAAGTATTGTTTTGATTTGTCAACACTGCCATACTTATGTAGTTAATTGTACTGTGCGTGCTGTTCTTCCTTTGTTAATGGGTTGGAATGGAACTATCTGTGTCCTCATCATCCCCACTACAAATCTGACTAAAGCAGATGTTTAGAGATAGTCTATGGTTACCAAGTTTTTGTGTATTGCATGAAATTCATTTACCGATTGTATTTTAGTTAACCTAGCTCATGTTGCGGTGGTGGAATTTTTTGATAATTATGGTAAATGGTGTTTTGTTGCTTCTTTCTTTGCAGAAAAATAAGACTGAATGTGGATTTTGTGCAAAGTGTTTAGATCTGAGACGATTCTGAGCCTGAATTGGTTGGTGGAAATGGATCTCTTGCATTATAAACGGATTTTCCACAAGTCTCTTTCACTGTGTTGAATTTTACATCATATTGTTTTGCCTTGCCATGTATCCCTCAGAAAATTCCACTCCTGATTGCAGTAAATTTTAATATGTATTTAGATTTTTATTTTTGTTGTTGTTTTGCAAGTGTAAAATTTTTACCTCAGTTTTGTTCTTACTTTTGCATTTCAGTATCGAACACTTCTGTTCTCTTTGTTCTGTTTTCAACTTTTGGTTTGTTGGTTTGTATTTTAACATTCCAAAGTAATTTTTGTTGTATTATGATGTCCAGGTGTAGCTTAAAAAGCATTCTGAATTTCCTCTGAAAGTATTTAAAGCTGTGATTACTATTTTGAAAGCTTTGTTAGATAAAGGTTCATGTTATGTTATTTTAAAAGGACCCTTCATGAAACCTTTTACCAAGTATTAGTATGGATTCTGAGTTCACAAACTACAAGCAGGATTTGTATGCTCGGTAAGCTTCACAAAGTCAATGAGGTACCGCTTTTTGTCACACTCGCGTTTTGTGAACTCTGAATCCCTTTTTTTGGAGGATGTCCTCAAAGAGTGTGATTATTTGGTCCCCTCATGTACACTGAAAAAATTATGAAGTGTTTGTAATATTTATAGAGTAAATGAATTCAATTTCATTTCACTGTCATCATTACAAAAACTCTCTCAGAGTATATAGAGTATATGCTTTCCATTTTATTACATACTTACATGCGACTTTGACACATACTTGTGTCTGTAAGAAGAAAAACTTGTTTTCTTAAGTAATGTATGGGAGGGGCTTGATATTAGTGATTATGATCAGGATCACATCTCTTATGACGTATTGGTTATTGTGAATAGTTTTGAAAAATATTTTAATAAAAATTGATAGCTTGAGTGTTGTGCTCCTTACTAATGTATTAACAGCCTGTTTTCAATGCAGTGTGGGATATTGATTTCGTCCTTGCGTACTTATGAGATATACGTGTGTGAATATGCATCATTTGAGTCGGGAAACTTTATGTATGCTCTCCTTTGTAAAGAAGATAATAAGCATATTGCAAGAAAGGACTAAAGCCCAGAAGTATTTTATGAAAAATAGCTGTGGTTGAAAAATATCATTTGAGGTTTTTTGAAAGACTGTAAGCAGCAAAATAAATTTAAAACAAAATCAAAACTGTATTATTTTAGTTTGTCAACTCCATTAATATTCAGTGTCTATAACATCTGAATACTCTTAACAAAATATACTTGACACCTGCAAAACAGGACTATACAGCACAAATATCACTTATCATAACTATTACAAACTGCATATTGTTCCTCAAAAACGCTCAACAAAACACGTAGTCAAACGGGCAAAAATCTACCCGTCACAAAAAATGTCTTTCCTCGCTTCCTTCTCAGCCGCGGGCCTGTCACCAGCGGGTCCCCAACCGAGAGGGATATGCATGGGGGTCGGGCACGAGTTGCACAGGTCCATGGGGTGGCCGTCGAGCAGCTGGAGGTCGGGGAGCAGCTCCCTCATCAAGGCGAAGTGACGAGGGCGAAGGCACACCGGGTTGCCCAGCAGACACAGTTCGGCGAGGCGCTGCGTCAGGCGGAGCCCCTCTAGCTCTCCGGGATCCTGTCGGACTCACCCGGTCCATCACAGCGTACATTACACGAGAATGTCACACCCGATTCACCGTCGTGCGAGCGCCTTACCGCAATCTTGTTCTTGGCGACGAACAGCTTGACGACGCCCTTGGCTCCGCCCAGAAAGCCGAGACCCTGCAGGTGATTGCCGTCGAGGTGCAGGTCGCGGACCTCGCGCAGCAGTCCAGCCTCGGCGGCCTGCTGGACGGTCGCCTCCTCCAGATGGTTGCCGTCCAGCACGAGTCCCCGCAGCTCGAAGATACCCAGCCCTGTGCAGCAGAGACCAGTGCAAGCCCCTGGCTGGGTAGGCCACCCAAGGACAGCAGTGTGTGGCAGGCCTGCCTCCGCCCAGTTCACAGGCGTCCGAGTGCCGGCCTCACCCGAAAGAGAGTCGAGTTGGTTGTGCTGCAGGAACAGGGTTCTGAGCCGCCGCAAACTCCCGAGCTCTAGTGGAGCCAGGCACGACAGGCCGTTGTGGTCCAGGAAGAGGGTGTGCAGCGTGGGGAACGCGACATGTTCTTCGGGGCCCGCCGCACCTCGTCGCGGCCGAGGGGAGGCATCCGAGGCAGCAGGTGGGCGCAAGCATCGCACCTTCGGGGAGAGCGGAGGGCGTTAGTCACGCAGGGTGGCGGGTACGGTGGTATACGCTCGTCGGCACCCCGCTCGCCGCCCCCACCTGGTTGTGCCCCAAGTCCAGGACGGCGAGGCGCGGCAGGCGCCGCAGTCCCCACAGACAGCAGAGGTCGTTGTGGCTGAGGTCCAGAACCTCGAGGTTGGGGAGCAGCTGCTCGGGCAGGTCCACCTTCCGAGCGAAACAACAGTCGCGTCAGCTAGCGCGGCGGGGCCACAGGCGGGGCCACAGGCGGGGCTAGGGCGCCGCGTGGGGGCCGGGGCCGCGCACCAGCCAGGTGGCCAGCTCGTGCGCCCCCGCGGGCCTCGTGGGCCCCAGCAAGGGGCCGCGCGTCGCTCGCCGGCCAGCCAGCAGGGGGTCCTGCCGCGGGGGCAGGCCACCGTCAACAACCACCCCCCGACTCAACAAAATATGGACGCTTCTCGTCTCTGTTTATGTGATATCTCTCGACCATTTTCCGTCCCGTATAGAACTGTGTCACTGCAAGAAGTACCTGCCGCAAGCCGGCGCTCGTCAGATGCAGCTCCACAAGGTGCGTCATGTCCCTCCACGAGTACTGGGTCAGCAGCGCGTCCCTGTCCAGGCAGCCGCCAAACGTCTCCCGCGCGGCGACCAGGTCGCCGTCCATCACCTCCTGGCCGTTGACGCTCTACACACGTCGAAAGCGCTGTTAGAGCCTCGCACTCACGGGAAAGAGACTACGAAGGCGGCTAAGGTATACCTCGAGGTTACGTAGGTGGAAGATCACAAACTTCTTGAAGTTTATGTCGTCGGAGACGTCGTTGCCAGTAAGATCGAGAACATTGAGGCGGTGTAGCCTGCGGACGGGCTGCAACTCCTGCAGAGTGCGGATGTAGTTGTTGGCGAGGTGTAGCTCTCGCAGTGACGTCATCTCCTCCAGACCGCACAGTGACTGCAGCTGGTTACTCGATAGGTCGAGGAACTGCAACGACAAACGACGGTCCGTGACGAGGCTCTGCTTCACGTCACGGGCCTGAGACACTCTGATCGGGTGAGGATGATAAAGGACAACCTGCAGATTCTGCAAGGGCTTGAGTAGCGGCACGGCGCGCAGATAGTTTCTGCTGAGGTCCAGCTTGATGAGGCCGGGGCAGTGCTGGAAGCAGGACATGGGCAGCGCCTCGATGGCGTTCCTCGCCGCGTTCAGCTGCAGGAGGTGCGGCAGGGAGGCCAGGACATGCGTCAGCCCTCCCTCCCCGAGCAGGTTGTTACTCAAGTCGGCCCATCGCGTCGCTCCAAGCCAGGAGGTCGACGAGGTGGTGGCCGCCGGATGCATCTGGGCCCCAGGTGCCGCCGCCCCCGCCATCGCCATCGCCCACGGCACGAGGGTGGGGTCCAGGACGTGCGTGAGGCCTCGGCCGCTGGCGCTCAGAGAGTAGCGGTCCGGCTGCAGGCAGTCGGGTGCGCCGTCCTGCTCCCTCTGGACACGTTCACAGTCCAAAATGTAACTTTTCTTGTACTTCCAATGAACACTTTGACTTGAATGTTCCAAACTTCTGTAATGTTCTTTCTATTGCTGACCTCTTTGCCCATGTCGGCCCGCCATCGCAGGCGCAGCTCGTCCGGCCCGCACTCCCGCTTGCCCGGGAGGTGTTCTTCCTGCGGCTGCGCCGTCGGCTGCGGGGGTGGCAGCGGCTGCCGCGACGGCGACTGGCGGACGGACGCTGGGCGGCTGGAGGCCGGGCGGCCCGCGGGGCCCGCGGCCGGGTGGCGCACCGCGGGCGAGTGGCCGGACCGGACGCGGTTCAACGGCGCGCCCTGCTTGTGGGCGGGCGACTGTGTGCCCGAGGGCGGCGCCGAGGGCGGCGGCGGCGGCGGCTCGAGGAACACGGGCCCCGCTTGCACCGGCTCGCCGTCCAGCGCGCCCAGCCGCGGGAGGTAGCGCGCGGCCAGGTAACGCCCCTGTGCTGACTCCAGCACGTCCTCCACGGGGTTGTGGCACACTTGCAGGCAGCGCAGCCCGGCCGTGTGCTTGTTGAGGCTCCGCAGCACCACGAGCAGGTGACGGATGTTGTTCCAGGACAGGTTTAAGCTCTCCAGGTGCGGCAGGTCCTGGAATGCCAGGCACGTCCTAGAGGATAGACGGCGCGCGTATCGAAGGGAGGGGGGGGGGACTAGCACCCTTGCTTACCCTCATGTTGACCAGCGTGACGAAGTTGTTGAAGGAGAGGTTGAGGCTGCGCAAGTTAGGGAAAGCGTAGAGCGAGCCCAGGGACCCCAGCTGGTTGTAGGACAGGTCCAGGTGCGACACGCAGGGCAGCAGGGGCAGTTCACCTAGTGGTAGTAATCAAGGCGATTGGTCAGGCGATCAGCTTGAACTGTTCGTCAGAACAGTAGCGTCATGTCATCGACAAAGTCATGACATCCGATATTGGCCACGACTACCTCACGCACCCAGCACTTTGACGCCGCGCCCCGCCAGGTTGACGGCAGTGAGTCGCCCCCAGTCGTTGCACGCCACACAGCGCGCCAGCAGAGCCTCGTCCAGCACAGGGTGCTTGACGGAGGCCGGCGCCCGGACGTCCTTCCACCAGGGGGCGATGCGGCGCAGCCCTTCCTCGATACCCTGGTCCGGGCCGTCATAGTCGGCCGCCTCGTCGTCGACGCACTCGTATTGGAACTCGACGAGGAAGAGCAGCTCTGGGCGCGGGCCGAGCACCCGGTACATGCCACACTGCTTGTCGTCGGGCTCCACGGACCTCTTCCCTCCCCGCGCCGCGGTCCTAGGGACGCAGGCGAGTTGGCGTCCGGTTAGCGTCGGGGCGGGAAGTCGCGGCCATGGCGGGCTCGGCCCCGCGGGACACCAACCTGCGCAGCCGTGTGCCCTTGCTGAGGCGGACGAGGGGCGCGAGCCTGCGGATGCTGCTCGGCCGAGGCGGGTGGCGCTTGAGCCACTGGGAGTCGGCCAGCGCCAGGCAGTTGGACACGAGCAGGGGCTCCTGCAGGCCGAGAGGACGAGGGTCTGACAGGGGTGCGAGCACTCCACGAGCGATCCTCGAGCGGGAAACAAACCTCGGCTTCACCAAGGGCGGGGTAGTTCAGGATGTGCAAGGGCCAGGGCGCGTAGCGGAGCTCGCGCGCCGGACTGCACAGCAGCTGGAAGAGGGAGCCGCAGTCCTGGTGCTCCACGCTCTCCGCGGTCTTGGCTAACTCCACGCCGACGGGCGTGACGGGCGTGATGAGGCGCGACTCTGGTGCTCCACGCTCTCCGCGGTCTTGGCTAACTCCACGCCGTCGGCGGCGACCCCGGCCGGCGCCTCGTCACCCTCCAGGAAGCTGTTATTCCCGCCCGTGTGTGTGCTACCGCGGCGGGATCGCGCGCCGACGACCGTGGCGGACGAGGTCAAGGTGGTCGTGCTCGGTGTCAGGCTGCCCTTGCGACCTTCCTGCCCATTCAAGTGCGCCTGAGATGTGGTCCAATAGTGCGTGTGGCGGGAGTGGCCGAGAATGAACCACCGACTATTTTTGTTCTTGTTCCTCCGGGTTTACCTGGCTGGTCGTAGCGCTACCGGAGTCCTCCTCGGCGTCCTCCACGCGCGCCGCCGTGTCCTCTGGGTCGGTCTCCGCCGGCCGCCACCCCTCCACGAGCTCGGCGCCGCGACTGCAGACGTGCGTGACCCTGAGGACGCGCGCGCGCCGCAGCTGCCACTTACTGGGGACAGAGACGGCGGGCATCGTGTGGTGCCGAACTCGAGCGATGTCCGTGCTCATGTCTAACTCTGGACGCGCACGCGAATTGGGAGCTGCAGGAGAAGCGGTCGAGGAGGTTCTGGCACACGTTGGCCAGCCGGCTGCCCTGAGGGTGCACGCTCATGGCCACGTTGCCCACACTCTCCAGCTCCAACTCCAGCTCGGCGAACGACATCTGCAACGTGCTCAAGTCACGGACTGCTCCCGCTGCAGAGAGGTTTTCAACTTTCTCGGGCTTACGTCGTAATCGGCCCGGTGCTTGTCGAGCTGCAGGTCCAAGTCCTCGGTCCAGCGCGTCAGCTGCGCGACGAGGTTCTCCAGGGCGGCCCGGTTGTCCTCGGCCTCCTGTTCCTGCTCCTCAGCGGGCGGGTTCGGGCTGGGCGGCGTGGCGGGCACCCCCAGCCGGTGCAGGTACCCGCGCATCCTCTGCTGCGCGTGCAGCTGGCGGGCCACCTCCTCCACGCGCCGGTGCTGCACCTGCAGGTGCGAGCGAGAACGGTAAAGCCTCGTGACGTGCTGACCACACCAAAGTGATCATATTGGCAACACGATAATGGGCACTGACGGACGAAATCCTCGCTCGGTCTTCCCGGAGGGATTGCGTACCTCGCACTGCTTCTGCCCAAAGTAGAAGAACTGGTCCCGCAGGCGCTGCAGCCCCGCGGTCGCAGCCCGGCCCAGCATGCGCACGGCCAGCATGTAGCGGGCCTCGGCGTGCCGCCGCAGCATGCTCATGTGCCGCCCGCCCGCGGCGTAGAACTCCTGGGGGCACCGCGCCGTCGTCATGTTCTCGAGCACGCCGTCGAGGCCACGCTACGCCTTTCCCTCGAGACCCCTCCCCGCACCTTGAGCTGAGTTAACTCCTCCGGCTCGACGGAGAAGCCGTCCAGGTAGAGCAGCTGCGGCAGGTGCAGCAGCACGCAGCTGCGGTAGTTGCAGAGGCGCGCCATGGGCGTCACGCCGTACACGGGGTCCGCCAGGCTGAGCACGCGGAGCGCGTGGGCGTCGCAGAGGTGGCGCGCTTCCTGGAGAGAGAAAGGCAAGTTCCGGTGACTTTGTTGCCCACTTGAGTTTTCGTAAAGAGACGAGCCCTGGGTTCTGGGACTCGCCTTCAAGCTGGCCAGTGGATTGCCGCTGAGGTTGAGCGTTGTCAGCCGCTTGCATCCCGTTAGCGCTTTACGCAGGGTGCATATCAGATTGTCGGCCAGGTTAAGGTCCTCCAGTGCCACTAGGCTCGCCAACCTCTGCAAGCAGTGTAGGGGTAAGGACAAGGTGGGTAAGGACGAAGGGACGGTCACCCTTGGCGCCGGGTGGGTAGGCAGCCCATTCGACACGCACCGAGACGCGGGCGATGCGGTTGCCCGGCAGCCAGAGGGTGTGCAGCCGCGAGAGCGGCGCCAGGTCCGGCAGCTCGGTCAGGCGGTTCGTGCTGAGGACGAGCTTCTCCAGCGTCACGCACACCCGGACCACGGCCACGTCCCGCAGCCCGGCCTCCACCAGCCACAGCTCGGTGAGGCGCGACAGGCCGCCGAGGCCGTCGACGATGCGGAGCAGCGCGGCGCTGGCCTCGGGGTGGCCCACCACCAGCAGCTGGCGGAGCTCGGCCGCGGCCTCGGCGTCGTCGAGCACATCGGGGACCTGAAGCATCTCGTGTCACGACACACGTCACAGGCACAGGGACGTACGGTGACCAGCCTGTTACCCCGCTGCCCACCTGACCTGAGCCGGGCCGTTGGCGTAGTGTATAACCAGCCGCGAGCGGTCGGCGACGGGCTCCAGGACGCGCCCAGCGCCACGCCGGCCACCGCCTTCAGCCCCGCGGTCATCTCTCTGCACGACGGCGCGAACCCTGGACAAGGCAGACCACCGGATGGGTTAGGCCGATTTCAGACAAGGTCGATCTCTTGCGCCTCTGTGCTCGATGCGGCCGACACGGCATAGTGAGGAACGCTTCTCGCGGCGTGGGGCTGAGGCGCTGAACGGGGTAAGGCCAACCAGCCAACCACTCGACGGTAATGCTTACGGTTCTTTGATTTCCACGGAGCTGGCTTTCACGGTTAAGCCCGCTGTGATGTCGCCTGGCGAAACATGAACAGTGATGGTGACGCGTCCCCGGCGCGTCCCGCCGACCCCGCCGTCCCAGCCCCGCCCGCCCGTCCACGCCGCCCGCACTACGCACCTGTGCTCGCGGCCCCGCCCGCGGAGGCACCTCGCGGCCTACGGTGCCGCGCGCCGCGCGCCCCGCCCTTGCCGTCGCCCGCTTTCTTCTTGACCGTTTTCGGCTGCGACATGACGCCCTGGTCAGCCGCGGAGGTCGACGGCGGCCGCTAGGCGGACTCATGGGCGCGCCAGTGGGCGACGACGCCGCCGTCTCGGCGCGGCGACGGCGCGGCGCGTGACAGCACGGCGGCCACCTGGCGGACGGGCGCGACGGGCGCGACGGGCGTGACGGGCGTGACGGGCGTGACGGGCGTGATGAGGCGCGACTGGGACGGGCTGGGCGGGGCGAGCGGCGGACCGCGCGGCCATAGAAACCGATCGCACGATTGTCGCAGGCGCAGGGGCGCCCCGCACTGGCCGGCCAACCCGAGGGCAGCCGCGGGAGGAATGTTCAAGGAACGGTTCCAATAATCGAAAAAGATGCGAGTGTAAGGGAAGTCATTAGTCATTAGCGAGTGATGGGTCCAAGAGGGTCTAGGAACAGGTTAGCAATTAACATTTCCCCTCACCTCACCGCACTGCGAACAGTTGCCTATGCGCAGAGCGCTCTCGGGTCGGGGTCGGGGGCACCTTACGAGGGGGCTGCCCAGGTTGGTGCTATAGTACTGTATCGTCCTCACGACCCTCGGTGCGGCGGGGAGGGGCAGGGGGGTTCTGTGCTCACGTGTGAATATTTCAGGCTGCCATCCAAGTTTTACACTGGCGCGATAACTTGAGTGTTAAATGTGAGGCGAGCAGAGCGCCGGGCGAGGGGCGAAGGGGCAGGGGCGGCGGCCGAGGCCACGAGGCAACCAAAGCAAGGCGACCCACAACCCATACCCTCTCGCTGCTCCAGGGGCAAGTCTCTCCGCACCCTCCTTGACTTCTCGGGGCAAGAAGGGGAGGATGAGGCGGAGGAGGTGGTAGAGGAGGAGGAAGGGCTTTTCGCCATCATTTATACATGTGAAGCCGCCATTCTAGTTTACAGTCCGCGGGGCGGTGGTGCCGGGCGGGGCGGTGGTGCCAGGAGGAAGGAGCGGGATGGACCCCCTTCCCATCCTCTCCATCTCGCCCTCCCTCGCATCTTCTCCGCGGCCGTCCGCCCGGCGAGGTCCTCTCCTCCTCATCCTCCTCTCCATCCTGGTCGCCTTCTCTAGCTCTGCCCCGACTGGTCCGGTTTCCTCCTGGGCCCTCCCTGTAAAACCTCGCACATAAAAGATGCGGTGTTGTTCTTGTTTTGCAGCAGCCTTGCGTGATCCTCTCTCTCGCTCTCTCTCTCTCCACCCCCTCCTCGTTCTACCGCCCTTTCTTCTTTTCGCAGCGAGGGTGAATAGCAGCACGTAAAGGCCCAGACAACCCAGGGCCGCGTTGCATTTTGCATGCCGGCGCCTAATTTGCGATATCAGTATGCATTACTTCCGACCCGCGTCCCGGCTCCGTCCAGGACCGGCGTCCTGCTGCCTGGCCGCAGCAGGGCTGAAGGGGCCGCAGGGCTGCAGTGCAGAGCCCGTAGGGCTGTCGCTTGGCGTGCGGTAATAAGGGACCGTGCACACAGCACGTAACACCTCCGAGGACATATGACGGTCCTGACCCTAAAAATCATTGGCTTTCCTTTATTAGTTCAGCCACGTGACTTGGGGGAGGAACGAGGGGAGAGAGGAAGCGAGACAGTCAAAATCGCCTCAAATTTGGGTGACGTACATTATGTAGACCGTGCCTATTACGGTCGCAGTAGTCGCGGATGAGACAACGCGACAGGTAGCTGCTATTCATCTATTCCTCGGCGTGCCGCTCTGCCATTCATCTCCTCCCTCCCTCTCCCACTCCGCTTGTTCCTCCCTCTGTCTCTCTCACTATATCACACTCTCTCACTCGCGCTCTTGCCTCTGCTGCGCCCCGAAATTTCCATACCCAAATTGCTATGGCGGCCCCCGTGATTGAAATGCAAATGGAACCATCTGTGTCAGCGTTTCTCACCCGCCAGACCCGGCCGCAGCGTGGCGGGGCGGGGCGGGGCACATCGGCGCAAAGTCCTATCCGGCCGATAGTGGCATTCGGTTGTGGGGCGTAACGGCGGTGTATGTCGCCGTTGAGAAAAGTAGAGTGCAGCAGACAAGTGTATGCGAGTGTGCACAAGTGCATGCGTAGCAGGAGCACGTGCAAAGCCCATTCACGCGCAAAAGCTGCAAGTTATAATTGAAGTGTATCATAACACATGCATAATCCGACAACATTCGTCCTCGAAACAAACGGGGGCTGGTTGTCCTCTTGACGAAATTTGAGGCGTCAAGTATGGAGAGAGATGTACGAAGAGTAATAACAATGCCTTTCGCCTTGGCGCCTAATAGCAGCGAGTGAGTAGGCAACCCTCCCAGATGCCTAAATGCGGTACAGTATGACCAAAAAATGGTACGGGGCCCGCCGTATGTAGTAAAGAGAGATGGGAGGGGGGAGTGCGTGTGAGAGAGAGAGAGAGAGAGAGAGAAAGAGAAAGAGAGACAGGGACAGAGAGAGCGCCTCTTTATCGGCCCGTCTTTTCCCTCCCCGTCCGCTTTGCGGGGCTCAGGCGGCTAATTGAGCTACTCCCCCACCCCCTTCTCTGCCCCACCGACCACCCCCCTCCCCCTCTCCTCCCATAGCGCCCCTCTTGGGGCCTCGCCCGCACTCAGCCGCTTAGATTGGTTCATTATCGCGAATCATTTGCAGGCAGAATGAAGCTGCTGCTGCTCTGGTGCTGCCCCCCCCCCTTTTCCTCCTCCTCACCCCACTAACCCCCTCATCCCACCCTCTCTCCCTTCACCACGCTCCCGAGTCTCATCTACTCTGCTTTCAGCCAGTTTATAAAAAGGCTATGAAACAAGCGGCGCACAACTACTGCTGCGTGTTCCACCCCTCTCTTCTCCAGCGCGAGCGACTTAGCTGTTGTTTTTGTTGCTGTTGCTGTCGTTGTTTTTACCCTTGCAATACTGCCGCGTCAACACTTTGGCGACGCAGCGGGGGGTATACGGGATGTGCGCGCGCGATGTGCCTGGCTGGTGCTGCGCGCCCGTCGCACTGACCCCGATGACACTTCATCATACGCGCGATTAATCGTTTTGCACTCTTCTTCGGCTGATCGTTATTTTTTAAGAGTCTCACTCGATTATGGGCCTCGCGATACTCGCGCGATCACCGCGGGGGGAGCCTCGCCGTCTCCAGGAGGAGGCCTGTCTCCCCAAATGATCCGGCGCGCGGCCCGCGACGAGTCTCGAACGAAAAATGTACGTTTATACGAGTGACCTGAAACAACTACTGCTGTATTTCGCGAGTTTCGCGTTCTATGTCGCTTGCGATATGGGGATGTGCGTTCTTTGCGAAAGAGATAGAATAAAAGTGATGCGATTCTCTCTGAGCGCACGCGCGACCCTTCGCAAGACTCCAGCAGCAGCAGAGATCTTGTCCAAAAGCTCCCCCTCCTTCTCCATGAGGGGCGCTGCGGTCATTACTTTTTAATAAGCACCGGGTGGCCCGGCGCGGCCCGGCGCCCCCGCCCGGCGCCCCCCGCTCAGCACCTCGCTACGAGCAATATGCCATACAGCGCGCACAGCCTGAGCCAGCAGCCGAGGAGGGCGGGCTTATAATCTAAGCGTGATGTTACCCATGGGACTCCCCCGCCTTCCCCCTTTCCCTCCGTATCTCTCTCCCTCTCTCTGTCGTTCTCTCTCTCCCTCTCTCTTTCCGCCCACCCCCTTTACTTGCCCGCGATTCCACACCACCCCTTCTTCGGGCGTAAGTACGGCCTCGCCACAACTTTGCCGCCGATCTCTCTCCTCCTCCTCGTCGTCCTCCTACACCTTGGCATCCTCGTCTCTCCTGCGAGCGAGCAATCCGTTCGCTTTCACATTTGTCATTCCTCCAGCAGCTCTTTGCTTGCCTTCTTTTCATCATCTGCATTGGTTCGTCGCATTTTCAAAAAGCTTTTAGTACCAGGTGGCTGATTTCCGCCGCGCACTTTAGTAGTTATACTGTACCGCATGCACGCGTGCGGATGGGTTGCCTACTAACACGGGGCCATAGGGGGCTGATCTCAATGTTGATTCAAGTTTCAACCCACTGTCGTGGTCTCTTTCGTTTCTTAAATCAAATTTAACACAACAAAGTTGGCAGTATGGAACTCTAAAATAATCTGTACAAGATGATCCTCTCAGTTTG